CGAGCAAGCTGCGTCCGGGATTCTGCATCTGACGGGTGGAGCCAGCTCTTCACTCAGGTGGCTGGCTTGTTTTTCAGGGCACCTCAAGATGCAAGTGCTGGTGTGCACCTTGAGTTGGGAGAAGGGCTGCCATCATTCTGGTTCGCAAAGCTCGACCTGGTGATTGGCGATGGTGCTGCGCTTGCATCTTGTTGGTCGCTGAAAGGCGCATCTGGGACGAAGCCATGCCTTTACTGCCAGAACGTCTTCTTGCACGGCCTCAACCTCCATCTCCATGACAGAAGCGGAAGGTTTGTTTCTCATGTTGAATGCGACATGTCCAAGTGGCTCTCGAGACGGATCAAAGTGTTCTGAACTCGGCTAAAATGCTGAGGGACAATTTTGGAAACACTTCTCGTGCACAGTTCGACAGGATGGAGAAAGCTGTGGGTATTGTCCACACCATGAGGGGACCTCTGAATTGTGACCATCTTCTCCAACGTTTGAATGGTGGGCCGATATCAGTGACTCAGATGGACTGGATGCACATCTAGTGCGTCAATGGGATCTTCAATACTGAATGCGGATTCCTCTTGGAGTCGTTGCGAGCGGCAGGTTTGCAATACATTGATCTAGACAGGTACCTCCAAGGATTCAAATACCCAAAGCAGCTGCAGAGCAAAGGAACTACTGGCAGCAAAACTTTGAAAGGGTACGATGGTGGAGAAGTCAAATGCTCAGCGAGTGAAGCTTTGGCAGTTTACCCCTGCATCCGCCTCATGCTGATGACTTTGGTCCCAGATGATGTCCCACATGACACTACTCTTGCAATCGTCAGCTTTCATGCTCTTTGTGGCGTTTTGGATCTTTTGCAGCAGGATAAGAAACTTGGCAACGTGGATCCTGACACGCTACATGGTGCTGTTGAACGCCACGTGACTTTCAGAATTGCTGCGTATGGGGAGGATCGACAACAGCCAAAAGTTCATTGGAGTTTGCATTTGAGCTCGATGAAGCGATTGCAGCCGGTTTTGACATGCTGGGTGCACGAAAGGAAACACAAAGAGATCAAACGCGTAGCGAATGATGTTGCAAATGCTAACAGAACTGTCGGATTTGAGAAGTCCATGCTCACCTCTGTGCTCTTAGCCCAGCAGGAGGCCCTTAAGGGGCTGAACATCTTGGATGGTGTGGCACTGGTCAATCCAAAGCCTGCTAATGAAGCAATTGCTCATCATGCAAGGATTGCAGCAGGGCGTGGTATTTTGGAAAGTGTTGAGCATGCTCATGATGCCCTTTTGGGACCTGGCCAACTGTGCGCGTCAAAGGACGTAGCCGTGGCAACACTGCAGGGTGCAGACGCAGTGGTGGAAGTTTGGTTCCACGTCTTGGTCGCAAATCATGTGTACATGACAGTTGTGAGCCCTTGGACACCTGCAGGCACCAATCTCTTTCGGAAGCAGGACGAGCCTCTGTTCATCCCAACCAGCGACATTCAACGGTGCTGCATTTACCATTCCACATCTGACCCGGGTGTGGTTGCTGTGGTGCCTTGATCTTTGATTTGATTTGCTTTCATTTTGATTTCGCAGCAGCGAACCTTTCGGCCCTGCGTGCTTTGACCTGGGGAGTCATGTGAGAAATGTGACCCTGCGTGCTTTGACCTGGGGAGTCATGTGAGAAATGTGACCCTGCGTGCTTTGACCTGGGGAGTCATGTGAGAAATGTGACCCTGCTTGCAGGTCATGCAGCTCCTGCATGGTGCAATTCTATTTCCCATTGTTTTTGATTTGACATCAACGAGTGAGACTTCGCATCATTTGAAAAGGCCATTGTTTGCCTGCGCGGCAGTTTGCCAAGTGGTCCCAACTCAGCTCCATCCGCATGGCGACCTGTTACCCGGATATATACTTCGTCATATCTACATGTGGCCATGACATTCTATAAAGAAGATTCATCTGATCAGATGTATGGAAAGCTATCCCAAAACACATTGTGAGCTTGAAGACACTATATGTGCTATATATAGACCAAGGAAAATTTCGTGGTGCCGATGTGTCATAAACATGTACCCCCATTATTCTCAAACGAAAAGGGCAGTATCAACAGAGGAGATCTTCAGTGGGACCATATACTGCAAAAGGACTGCAAACCCCAAAACAAATACCACAAATTGCATGTAGACCGCATGCAGGGGACATGCATGCTGAAACATCGAAATCACCCGTCAGATGAAACCCAACGTATTGACATGTTGTACCTACGGTTTTCTAGAATATTTTCATACCTGTTGCGAAACCATTGTCCTTCATAAAACCGAAGATGAAAAGAAATGCCACCTTTTCAAATGAGAATACTCGTTTCGGAAACAAGATTTGGTTCGGTGGTACTGAATTTGCAAAATATTTCCTCCACAAAAACATTAGCATGTGACAGCCGCTCGAGTTTGATCCTGGCAGGCTTTCATGCCGGTGCACTCTGCGGGGCGAGTCGGCCCATTCTTGTGTGAAACGGTTTTTGGAATATGTTTCATGAGGTACAGTCTATAATAAGAGGTATATTTAACCTTACATGGTTCCATGGGTGATTGACTTCAAAATTACCGTGGGTGCTCTTATAAAGAAAAAACATTCGGGATGGTCATGACGGACCAGCTAATCTGAAATTCACAATCTTCCAAATTCATCATTTTAGTCCAAAGCACTGACACCTGTGTTTTTTTATTGGGCACAGGAAAACGAAACAACATGTTGCAAAAAACACTTTAACCCCGGAGATGGCAGTGTGTTTTGTCTAGTTTTGCGTGGCAACACATGTTGAGGACAGCTCAATATTTTTGAAAGACATGGATCATGTATTGTTATACTTTTGTTTTGCCTCATGCGCTTTGACAAATCAATGGCTGTAAAACAAAAAAATACATGTTGCGACGGGGTGACATAGCTTACTTAGCCTACATAGCTAAGTGCGCCGTAAGTGGGCTAAGTAGACTTAGCTAAGTGTGCTAAGTGGACATATATCTGTGCACTAAGTGGACTTAGCCGACTTGCTAAGTGATAGCTAAGTGAAAGCTAAGTGACATGCTATGTGGGCTAAGTAGATAGTAAGTCAGCTATCTAGATGCAAGCAGGGTCGGTCATCCAAGCAGAGAGGGGACCAGGTTCGGGGCCGACGTCGGGTTCGGAGGTTCGATGGCGGGTTCGGGTTCAAGTGCTGCTTCTTTGGGCAAGGGGGGGAAGGAGGTTCGACTTCGGGTTCGGGTTCGGGTTCGGGGATGGACGTGGAAGAAGAGACGGAAGAACCGCGGCCACCTCGGAAGTGGTTCGACTTCGACTTCGGGTTCGGAGGTTCGCGAAAGTTGTACTGCGAGAGAGAGGTTTGCGTGTAAGGCGGGATCTGTACACAGTATATGGGGGGGGGGCCAGGTTCGGGTTCGACTTCGGGTTCGGAGGTTGGACGGCGGGTTCGGGTTCAGGTGCTACTTGTATGGGCAGGGGGGAAGGAGGTGCGACTTCGGGTTCGGCTGTGGCGGCGACGTTCGCTGTGGAGATTCGACGCGGGTTTCGGTTCACCAAAGATTGTTTGAACGTTTGTCCCTCTTGGGGGGAAGAGGGGGGCGGGAGGAGGGGGGAGGAGGTTCGACTTCGGGTTCGGCGTGGGATGCGACTGCGGGGTGACGTCGGGGTCGGAGGTTCGGGTTCTGGTTCGGGTGTTACTGCGGTGGAGCAATCATTGTCTGCCCATGTGTTGGATTTGTTATGAGCAGGCCAGGGGCGACGTGAGCCTGTGTATGTTCGCAGGGGGTTGGAGTTGGGGTTTCTGTGTGTTTCTGTGGCTTCTGGGCTGCGGGGAGGGCCAGGTGCGATTGCGGGTTCGACGTCGGCTTTGGCTTCAGGAGAAGGGGGGGATCGGTTTGATTGCGGTGTTGGCTTCAAGTATAGGTGCGACTTCGGGTGCAGCGTCAGGAGAGGGTGGGGGGAGCGGTTCGTCTTCGGATGGAAATTCCCGCACCGGTGGGCGTGGGGGGCCGAAGGCGGCGCTTGGGGGGAGGGCCGGGTGCGACGGCGGCTTCGGCCGGGAGGCTATAACGAGAGGTCAGACGGCTAGAGTTCGACGACGTTGTTCGTAAGTAATGCAACATTTCCTGGGGTGGTCTTAAGATAGTCAAATAGTCCCTGAATGTTTTTTTTTCAAATATTTCGAATATTATTATGACCACAGGTTTTGGTTCCTAAATATTTAGAATATCATTCTATGTTCACAGGTTTGTAATTATTCTCCGTGGTAAATTAAAACCCTTTAACTTAAATCCCAATATATCCCAATAAAAAACCCTTTAAATCCCAATAACCACCGTCCCGCCACGGCTGCCGGTGGCCACGGCTGGGTGGTGGAGCTGGTCAGCCAGAGGCCTCAGAGCAAGTTGCAGTGGACCAGGGGCGCAACATAGTATAATATAACAATAATATATATATATTATTATATCATATTTTGATATATATAATCATATTAATATCATAGTTTATAAGTTAATATCAAATGATATGATATGATTTGATATGATATTTTGATTTATATATATTATTAACCATGATAATTTCTAAAATATGAAATAAACAGATTATTTCATATTTTAAAAATTATATACACAATATATATTAGCTAAGCACCCTTATTATGTGTATATATATATATATATCTATCCCAGATCATCCCATATGTAACCGGGATCTAAACCCATTGAACCCATCTACTAAGTTGGGTGCTCCTCCAGGTAAAACATCCCAAAGTAAAGTATCTTACTGTAAATCAAATTTGAATAGGTAAAACATCCCAAGAAGTAAAGTCACGTCCGATACGATGAGAAACATATATGTTTGATGAGTTGACTTGAATCAGAAGCAACACTGTGTAACGCGCAGCCGCACGTTTGCACTGGGCGCTAAGCGTCTAGGTCAAGGAGCACCTGGGGAAGCTAAAGGCCAGCCAGTCTGGCGCCAAACTTGCAAGAGGCAGCGTGCTCACAAATAGGGATCAGCCAATTCCGGCATCCATCCCATGCACTTATTGAGTGCCACGATAATTCTTTCAGCAACAGGGCGCGGCCATGCATTGCCGAGAGCGAGGGCAAATTGTCTCTCTGACAAATCCTCCGTCCTGCATGAAGACCATCCTTGTAGCTTCGCTTTCTCCTAGCATGCTGCGCGTTGCACAGTGTTGCTTCTTAGCTGGGGATGATGATAACCATGGTGATATTTGTTTGTGCTAATAACTGGCTATAACCTTTAAGGTGCGAATTGAGGAAATAATATCAATGATGATAATAACAATGGTGTCCTGCAGATTGAGGAAACGCCGATGGGATGTGATCCAAAATGAATCTCCACCAGATCGCGTTCGGGTCAAGCATGGGGACCTTATAGGCAACATTTTTTTTGCGTCATAATCACTGAAATAAACATTTATAAACATGACAAGTAACACAAGAACCAACACATAGGTTGAATCTAAATGACCCAAGCCACATTTCAAATGCTGGCTTCCCAGCAAATTTCTTGCTGGCAGCGCAATCCACCACCCTCAGCTGAAGATAGTGAAATCAGGATCAAACATGATCAAATTGGATCCAGAAAGACGCACTGAAGTAGCCTGTCAGTTTAATTTGCAGTCAAATCACCAACAATCATCGGTGTCCCCTTGGTATTCATTGATGATCCTTTTCAAGCCAGCCCTCAATCGTTTCCGCCCCCCTTGAGAAGTTGGAAACTGAAAGTCATCGCTCTTCCTGCGGGGGAATATTCATTGAACAGAGACGACAGGGACATTTCAAAAAAAAAACCTGCCAAAAAACGATTTCAGTGTGGTTTAATTTGATCTAGGTCAGTCCTCCCAAGAAAGTCAGAGAGTTTGACCTTCCGGAACTTCTTCAATGGTTTTGGCCATTTGAACTTTCCTCAGTGAAGTCATGAATTAAAACCAATCGGGTCTAACCAACTACCGCCAAGCAGACTGCAAATGCCAAGGTGCTCTTGACGGCGTACTTGTTCAGCCCAACAATCCAAAGACGTGGCCGGCGCTGAGGCAGGCCACCGTACTGAAAGCAGTCCATCACCTGTGCAAAGATGCGGTAGCAGGGGGCTCAAAAAATGTTCAGATTTAAAATGGATGAACCTTCCAGTAAATTTCATAGGGACCATAACTGATGCGAACCTTCCAGTAAACTTCATAGTGACCATCGGCTTTGAGCCTGGGCCATGATAATCATGTCAACATGCTTTCAGCCAAGCACTCAAAACATTTTTAGTGTGCAATCAAAAAACAACCGCAGCAAGCGATTAAAGAATTTTCGGTTCCGTCGGAATGTCAGGCCCTTGACATTCTCCAGGATATATGTATCTGGTAACCAGCGTCGGATTCGTTTGACCACCTTAGTTGAATCACACTAATGTGCACTTAACTTGAATTGTCCAGTAACAAATTGTCCTTTTGAAACTTTTGCAGTTGAGGTTCTGCAACACCTGGTTGTGATCTCTTGTCCTTCGCACCCTTCTTTTTTCCAATTGCAGAGAAAGGCTGGCAAGGAAAGCCGGACCCAAATATATGGATCAATTTTTCAACACCTAAGAAAGGGGTGAAAGATACGAGCAAACATACCACACACAAACACACACACACACTTTGGTCAACAGTGGGTTCAACAAAAGGTTCAGGCAAGATACCTCTGTACTTTCTGCAGTCCTTAGACAGCTTTTTCGGGCGATAAAGCTTTCGGATACGTTCACGAAGGGCTGGGTCACTTTCACTCATGTAGTAGGCTTCAGCCTGGAAACCAAGGTTCCTCGGCTTGTGCCACGAAGCAAGATCTATAATATGTTTCAGGTGGAGCATGTATGTAGATTGCACATCAGAATCACTCCAAGATTCTTAAGACATGGTATGACTGGTGCCAATCCCGCGCAATCTTCTGCCACCACCAATTTTTTGATGGGCATGGGAAGGCGCACTACACAGTGAGCCAAGATGAGCTATTAGAATTTAATCAGTGTGATCAGCCAACAGTGTGTGTGTGTAACATCTTGCACTGACCAATCCAAAGTAATGCTAGCCTTTTCTCATCTCGATTTCTCGATTTGACGCCAAGTAGCTTCCCAGCAGTCTGTGCTGCCGGAACCCCAAGCAGTTGTACGTCAGTGATCATGGCATTCACGCCCAGTCAGTGCACTCTAAGTCACCAGTTTTAACACGAATACATTTCATGTCTTTAAGACTGCAGATGTTTAGTGTGACAAATGGTCCATCAGTGAGTCAGTTTCCGGGCATGTTCTCGGTCAAAATTTAAGACGTCCTGTTTTTGTCACAGGGTCCTTTGGAATGGGTCTCACGTGAAAGCGTCCGTCCTGTTTTTGTCACAGTGTCCTTCGGGATGGGTCTCACGTTAAAGCGTTCAACTTCTTCAAGATGCCAGCAGCTTTCTTGCTTCCAGCCTGTTGTTGGATGTGTTCATGACAATGAAAATAAAGTTGATTGTTCAATGATGTGCTGTTGAAATATGATTTCATTTCGGCTGCAACGATTAAAAAAAAAGACCCTGCCTTTGGTCGTCCTTTCGCTTTCGCCTTCGCCTTTGCTTTTGGTTTGCTCTTACCCTTGGCCTTCGCCTTAGGTGCTCCTGATGCCTTTCGCTTGGAACCTTTCTTTGGGCCCTCATCCTCATCATCATCCTGGTTATCATCATCATCATCATCCTCTTCTTCCTCAGACTCCTCCTGCTCCTGATTTTCCTCCTCACTTTCCTCACCTTCATTTTCCTGGTCCTCTTCATTGTCATCTTCATCTTCGCCGGCCTCATCGGCGCTTTCTCCTGCCTCATCCTCATCGTCATTGTCCTCGCCATCAGCGTCATCATCCTTGCCATTTTTTTCTTTTTGGCTGGTACCACCTTCAATCAAACAAATAAATGACAGAAACTACGGAATGCTTGAATTTGACAAAGGTAGTTTTCGATCATTGGACAAGACAACTGACCTCTGACAGGTTGGGCGATTGGGCCTTCTTGTTGTTCGAGGACTTCTTTCGAAGCAAGGCCGATAACGTGGGCTCATAGAGCGGCGACTCGGGATCATACATGGCACCCCAGCACTTGGTTTCCAGCCACTTCATAAGATAGCCGACCTCATTGTAAAAAGGGTAAGGCACTTGAAGCAAAGAGAAGTATCATCCAAATTTCCTGCAATGCAATGACCAGTCAGTCAAAACCAATTTTGAGATAAGTAACATGTGCCTGGGTAAAACATACCCCCACAAAGGGAATTCTCTGCAGCACTGCCTCCCATGCAGTCTTGCCATCACCTGATGGTTGGTTTGGCTTTGATTTGATTTCAAGTTATCATATTTTTGGCAGTAGTAGTAGTGACATGGGTCGAATCCAAATAAAGCCAAGTGACAGCAGGACAAGTCAAGCATCGCCGAAATATTGTACTCATGGAACAGTTCGGACACCTTAGAAGCACAAGGTCATAAAAATGATTCCAGCCCCCTTGATTGGCCAGGGGAAAGGGCCCCCCAAGATTTTAATCCAAAGCACCACCTTGGACGGCAGGGCGTGATATGCAACCGGCTCAATGTCATCATCCTTTCGTCGGGAACCTCGGCTGGCTAAATGGGCAGTGTTGTCTTTTTACGATATAAGAAGGGAAAATTGTGTTGAATGATTTTATGGATCTACTAATATACAGCTTAGAAACCTTTCTGTAAGCCTTCCAATTCCTCACCTTTCCCACCAACACCAATTCGGTTCCCTTTCCCGTAGATCTCCTTCTTCAGAACGAATGGAGCCGACCAAGTTTCCACCTTGTCCTAGGCAAGTGACCCAGAGCGGGATTTTTTCAGTGGAACGAACTGTGGAACTGAAATGCAACATTGCCTTGATTTGTAAACATGCATCAAAGTTTCATTCCAATCAGGGGCGAGGATTGGACCAATGCAGTCGCCATGGCTCGTTCCACTGAAAAATTTCCTCTTTTTGAACACCAGCCCATTATCTTCACTTTGGACAAGGTAAAGGCGTTCAAGTTGCTGAACATTGCTTCCTTTGTTCCTCTTCTTGTTTTGGCGAATCGATTTTTCGTCCCACACCAAGAACTTGAGGGATTTTGTCTTTGACATCGCTTCCGTTGCGGTCGGCTTCATCGCCGAAAGAAGTGAGGGGACGAGTCCTAAGTATTATTGTGACTATCAAATTCATCAGATGAATTTTCGAACAAACAGTTGAATCATCACATCGCTGTATTGAAATTCGAATGGAACGTCACCATCCAAAAATTTAGACAAGGGTCCCTCTCTCCCTCCATCCATCACTATAAACCCGTCACCGGGTAGCATGGAGCCATTCTCCTGCCTCAAGGACAATGCCGCCTGAAAGAGGCGCGGGTGGCGGCCCTCCCGCAGAGGGGGCAATCGGAGTGCCGGTTGGGTACCGGCCTCCCCACAGACCTTGGTGTCCTTAGTTTGCAACGATTTCCGTAATAGTAAAGGGATAGAACTTCAAAGAATTAATGTCATTCAATTTAAACATGAGAAACTGACTTCTCAGAAATTGCAGGCAAGCTTCAAAGTAAATTGCCACCATTTTGGTGACTTGGTTCCTGGAGTTTGTCCCAAACAGGATCGAATGATAGTTATTATAAGTGTTAAAAATTAGTTAAAAGATTTTTTTTAATGGCAAATAAGACTCGTCTCAGGGTCCACTTCTCCCCTCCATTTCGGGTAGGCGGTTGTAGACAAGGCCGTGGTCATGTTCTGGACATTGTCCTGCAAGTATCAACCCAATTAAGTTGGTTTCATTTCCAATTCGCACATTTGTCAATACTGCATTCAGAGATGAGCCTCTTCCACGATGAGTTTCACGTGGGTTCTCACCATATTGCATGCCTTGAGTTTGAACCTTAGCAGGGCTAGACAAACTTCAGGGTGGTCCCGGATTTTAGGCCGAGACTTCATTCGCAATGTATGAGTTTAATTAGGTTTCCCACGCATCAAGTTTCTTCTGGGTTTCTTCGTCAAGAGTTCGTAGCTTTTCACCACCTTCGGCAGCATTCTTCCCCTTGGAGCCTTTCGTTTTAAGAGCAGCTTCGGGTACCTCCCGGTTCAGCTATATTTTTTGGTGACTGATGTCGATGAAAAATAATCAGAACACAATGAAAAACACAATGGAAATATCACACACCAGCCTTCAGGTGACCTGTACCTGACTCATCCTCCTCTTCCTCGGCATTGGTGCCAGGAACATCCTGCATCACAACGTCATCGTCGTCGCCGGTGTCATCATTCTGGCGGCAGTGGGGAAGCAAAGATGGGAGAGAAGTTTGGGAAAGTTCTGGCATGGCAAACAATGGGATGTCTCAAAATGAGGTGTCCTTTTTCCCCCCTTAATTTAATGATTTCTATAACCAAAAAAAGGGCACCTCATTTTGCGACTTACCCAAATAATAAACAGCCACCTTTTCATCGTTGTTCGACTTTGACGCCTTCTTCTCTTTGGCAACTTGCCTTAATCAAAGATAATGAGACAAAGAAAATCCTGTTTTGAATTTTAGATAACCCGAAAATTGTTGCTCAGAAGCATTCTGCAGTTGGGGCAAGATGCTCTTTGATGGTATCCAAGCGGTTCTCCACTTCGCCGTTGGTCACCCATTCTGAAGCCTTGGGTTTGACAACATTTGACCGATGTTGAGTTCATGAAAACGATCAACAATTATTGTGGATCATGATCTCACATGTTAAAAGTTCAAAACAAGAAGCCGACTTTCTGTGGCGAACCATGTTTTTGAAGGTTGTCTCGAAAGTGCTGCTGAATAAGCAGTCCTGACCAGAACTTTTGGCCAAGTAAACATGAAGGCCACCAAGAATATAGCAGTGGTGTTTTCCCCACCTCCAAAAAAGCCCAGAAGAGCTCCGCAGACTTGGGCCATCCTGGCAAATTCAGATGGCTGGAGATCCATGATGTTTGGGGGTTTCAAAATGGGGCATATTATAGTATGCTGTCCGCATGTGTTGGTTGGGAGTCTCAAAAACAAGATAAGGGGCATAATATAACTTCAGCAAATTACCTAATTTTAAATGTGACTTGATTATTTGGGGTCGTTTTTTTTTGGGAGACCAGGCCAAGTGAACAATCAGCCTAACCAGCGCACCTGCTCTCCAGGTCAAATCCACCTTCTCGCCCATGTAGCCACATTTCCTCAGTTGCAGGCAAGCGGGAGCGGAGAGCGGGGAGCGGGGAACGTTTTTTCAGAGGCATGGACTCCCTGTAGATCTTGTGGTTTTGGCAGACCTCCTTCATCTGCGTCACCAGCTGTGCATCCCAACCATAGGACCTACAGTAGATAGGACAATGCAAAAGTAGGAAGAGGCAATCTTTGATTCATAATAAGCCAGTTGAATGATATACGAATTACTGCTTCAAGAAACGGAATCACTTTTGCAAAGAGATATTCCCGTAGTTCCAGCTGACCCACAAAGAGATCGCAAGTCCCTTTTCCATGAAGAGCATTGTTGATACCCCTCCAAGTCAACATGTCAGCTCCAAGATGGCCATTCTTCCAGCCATCGTACCTTAGAATCCAAATGCTTGTGACTAGGACCTTGGAATCAAAATGTTTGTACCTTTAGAAATCTTTAGAACCATAATTCCACAGACTAGATGCAACGCATAGAGGCACCACTCTATGTTGCGATGGGATTTTGCTTTGTTCAAGATCACCTGAATTTTGGTGTAGCTGTTGAAAGGGTTCACATCCGATGGATTTTCGTCACTTTCCAGCATCAGTTCCATCAGATGCTTGTGCGCCAGGATCTTCTTCGACATGGCTACGGCAGTCTCCACAAAGGACTCTGTGACCTGCGGGCGCGGATGGGGGTCATCATCTTATCATCATATCATCAAACCATCCTCATACTATAATATATGAAAATGTTGATTTATAATGAGCCTTGAATTATGTATCCCCTAAATTTATCACCACAATTAATAATAAGCGATGCTCGAAATACATGTTAAGAGCTTCATTTCCAGAATTTTCGAGCATCATTTAAGAGGTACATATTCATCATTCACAACTTCATCAAACCATCTCATGCAACCCATGGCCTTTTCCGATTCGGTCCCAGCCCGATAATGCTCCATGTACTTTGCGGCAAAGGCTTCAGTACCTTATCAGTTCAGGGTTATTATTTTCATAATAATAGCTAAATATGATGAGGATCAACTTGTCACTAGGGCCAAATCTTCAAGGTACTCAATGCGCCAGTAACACGTTCCATTCGTTGCTTGCAATGCAACACAGAGATCACCTTCTGCAAGGTGGTGTGAACCATGGCCTCACGGTCGGCTAGCAGGTCTTGCCTCAGGTTCATTGCCATGAAGTAGATGTCCTCGTCGTTGGTGGCAATGAAGTATTCGAATTCAACCTGTGCAATTCGAATGGGTCGGCGTGTGTTTTTTGGAAGAATAAAAAACATAAATTGTATTATTCCCCGGCCAAGTCCTTTTAAAGTTGTCCTTTTTAATTAAGTCTAAATTAGCCGAGTAGTCAGGTCCTGCTAGCACTGCAGCCAAGGGTCTGAGAGAGCAAAGTGCTTCCATTTTGACAGCTTTTCCTCATCATTGTTGTCACGGTACATCGACCTAAGTTGGACCAATTTCTTGGGACTAAGTTGATTGAAGCTGGAAGTTTAACACCCCTTGCCACCAACATATTTAGGCAAGTGGCATCACAAAGGCAAAAACATTTTCTGGCGGCGAAACGGGCTTAACCCGCGAAGAATCCATAGACAGATGCCATTCAGGCCCTATCGCAACTTTGACTCTCCCATGAAAGCGACTGGGGCTTTCATAGTACCGGTCGCCAAGGTCATTTATGGATTTCTGCCGCAAAGGCACCTCAAAGGTCATCGTAATAATAGCTCCCAAAATGAAAATATGTTGTCATAGTCAGTCATGGTCTAAATGTAGTAACAACTAAGTCTTGGGCTGTCGGGTCAGGGTTGAAGAGCAGGTCACACTTGAAAATGTTTTGGGAACATACATAAGAAGCACTGGGATCCGCCGCCCCGTTCGGAAACAATGCAGCTTTCAATGCCCCAACATCGAAAGTAGCCTTAGCCAGTTGAGTGATGATAATTCCCAACTCAATTAAAAAATTGATGAACTGGTTTCAATCCACATTTGCTTCAAAGAAACCTGCCCTGCTCCCGACCCAAGCGCCACAGGATCTTCCGACCCCACGCCGGGCCAATTGATCTCCGCGAGCTCTGCCAGGGCCCTGTTTGCGGCCGTGATCAAATCCAAATTGTATTCAGCACCTGGGCAGGGCGAGTAAACCCTGAGACTTTTTGGGAACCTGTGCCGGGGAAGTACCACCTTTAACATTGATAACTCCCGGTAGCTAGTTGTAAGACCAAAATAACATCGTCATTGTCATCCCCATGAATGAGATTAGATCACATTAAAAATTCTACTTATATAATGAATCAAGGAAACAGTTAAACACCTGGCCTGAAGTAGCAACTGCTGCTTCATTCTCGGCATCTAGCAAAGGGGAAATGCTAGGCTGCTGCTTTGCAGTTTTTTTGGGTCCCCTAGCGGGCAGCTTGGGCTCAGGCTTTGCCTTGGCCACAGTCTTACCCCGACCTCCCATCTTGAACACAAATGCTGAAAGAATGTAAAGTGATCTCAATCAAGTTTCAAAATGCAGTAAGGCCAACTGAGCAACAGCAACAACTTGAGAAACTTCAAATTCAAATGGTTTTGGTGCTCTTAAGATAGTCACTGCACACGGGAGAGGGGTCAGTTGCCCCTCTCCCGTGTGCAGTCCCGGAGCGCTCAGGACTGCACACCGCCTCTCCCCACCAATCTTTGGGCTATGGATTTTTGATTGCACAGCGCCTCTCTGATTTTTTTTTTAGCCGCTCTTAAGATAGTACCAGTGAGGTGCTGTGCAATCCGGAGCGCTCAGGACTGCACAGGCTGTGCAGTCCGGAGCGCTCAGGACCGCACAGCGCCTCTCCAAAATGATCGGCTGTGCAATCCGGAGCGCTCAGGACCGCACAGCGCCTCTCCAAAATTATCAAAAATTAAAAAAATAGCGTCAGTAATCATTAGCTGCTCTTAAGATAGTCACTGCACACGGGAGAGGGGTCAGTTGCCCCTCTCCCGTGTGCAGTCGTGTGCAGTCCGGAGCGCTCAGGACTGCACACCGCCTCTCCCCACCGATCATTGGGCCATGGATTTTTGATTGCACAGCGCCTCTCTGATTTTTTTTAAGCCGCTCTTAAGATAGTACCAGTGAGGCGGTGTGCAGTCCGGAGCGCTCAGGACTGCACACGAGAGAGGGGCAACTGACCCCTCTCCCGTGTGCAGTGACTATCTTAAGAGCACTAAAACCATTTGAAGTGTAATTATTAAATTTTCTCGATTTGACTCAAATCTTTTTTTTCCCCATGTCCCCGGTCAGCGGTTGTCAGCTGACTAAGTTGAATTGAGCCGCAGTGAAATTGGTTTACTGGGTTTCTTCCCCCTGCTCCTTTTGAGCATTGTCACCGTTCATCATCATATTTTGAGCCCTTTGGACATCCTGCCACCACAGCTCCTCACACTGGCAGTCCTTACAAATGCTGCTATATTCGGATTGGTCTCGCCTCACAAGCCACAAACCCAGAGAAAGGTTGGTTCCGAAACATTGGCAATTTTTTGGAAATTATGATGTGCCGCTGAGTTACTCAGAAAGCCAACGCTTGAAGTAGCACATGAAACATGATATGCAGCAGCGGTCATAAAGGAGCTTCTCTTGCATGGTAAGCTCTCGTGGCACGGCAGCCATCACTTGTCACCAATCACACTTAAGCAAACGCGGCTTCAATTTTTTTGCAAACAAATGGTGGCTCCAAAAAAGTGTTGCTAGTCAGCTGTGATTCTAAATGACACGTGGCGCAAAGCACTTAAGCTAATTTTGCCATGCGGTGCCGCTAGCATCTTCTGGCTTGGAAACCCCCTTCAAGCCAACTTTTAAAGTAATTAGTAATTAGTCTAAATGTCTAAAGCTTTCGCCGAGACCAATGGCGGACCATTTTTCGGCCACCATCAATCTCCAAAAAGAGTTGCATTGCATCTTGGGAAGTCACCTTGAACTTGATGGGCCTCAAATCCTGAGTTTGGTTTCATCATATTTCAATTCAGTGTCTGGGTCCCTAAAAATCATATTCCCCGAAGAACATCACCCCAATAACATGCCTAGAGTCAACATCCGAAGCTTGCTCATGTGCCGTCACAAAGGCCGTCGCCAAAGCACCAACTGTCTTGAAGCGGGAAGCACGGTCCTGAGATAGCCGGATTGGATGGCCGGGGCTGGGGTAAGGATGAAATCGGCATGACCGTTTGATTGGTCACTTAAACTTAGTCAGTACCAGTCTAAGTCCAGGAATCTAAGAAGGTTCGTTTATCAGAAATCGGAGTCCAAGGAGACACTGCGCAGTCCACAACATGAGCTGCCCTGGGATGTTCAGCACGAAACCCGGGGCTTACCCAGCAAATCCTTTTCGGCTGCGCCGGAGCTTTCCTCAGATTGTGAACCAAGGTTAGATTAAATTTAAACATATTTTGGGGGATATTCATGTGACTTTGTTGAGTGTGCAAATGTAAGATCAGTCAAGCTAAGAGGCCGGTAAGGAACCATCATTCCACCAGCTCCCCTGGTATGGAAATATTTTGGCGAAGCAAGATACCTTACTTGCATCACTTTTTTGACCATCTGATTTAAAAAATGTGGTGAATGCAACCCATCAGATCATCAACATCCAAGTTGCAAACCTTTCATAAAGGCAAGAAATGCTGCAGTAACCTTGGGCTTGAGGGGATCCTTCTGAATCACAACATTCACCTGTTGCCTTAGACGGAGCAAGGATGTTGGGGGAAGGAAAAACCAATGTTGAAATCTAGGCATTTTAGACAAATAATGAATTCAAGAAGCATGCGTTGTGTAAGACGAGCCCCACATTCACGAACGGCTTTCCTTGTCTTGTCAGTGTCTATGGTCGTTGGAAGTAGGACACGCATCTCCCCAAACTCGATAAGCTTCCCAGAGGGCCCATCAACAGCTGCGTCACCTAGGCAGTCATAGTTTGATAGTGAACTTTAAAATCACATGTTAGACTTACTCTCAGTGGGTGTTCCAGGAAAGAGTTCAAACTAGAAACAAGACTAGGGACGGTTCGCAAGATCTTTGAAATAGATTTTCCTCCTTTTTTTGGCATCAGCATCATGTGCAGCAGCTTCTTCAGAAAGTCGCTTGCGATCAGATAAAATGAGACCCTGCTTGAAGGCTTGAATACCTTAGCTCATCACATAACCTGATGATGATATGTATTATGTAAAATAGCCGCCTGACATCCCCATGAAAAAGTTAGCCATCAAATAGAATTAACATTGGAATTCAAGGTGCGTCGTTTCCTCTCTTGGACTTTGTTGCGATCCTGTTCTTTTTGGTGTTTTTCCGTCCACATACTTTTTGCTACTTTGGCCACATCATCATTTTGGGGGATGGTCTCATTGTTTTTGGCCATTGCTTCTTTCACGTTTCTACGACGTCTCCTCAGCCACCCCTTTGCAGAAGCCCATTGGTCGCGTTTGGCATGCCCTGGCGCCCGAGGCTTTCGTCTCATGCAGAGCCGCTTGGTGGACTCAGCAAAGCTTGGAAACCCAGGATGGGAATCGGTGCAAAAACACAAGTTCCTCAAAATCAGACCATGGGGATTCCATATTGGGTAAGAAAGCCCGGCTTTTGTTGGATTCTTAGATAAAATGGTGCTATTGATAGAATAACAGGTTCTTTCAAATACAAGTCTTTCACCCCTTCCCCATTGACTTTTGAAAACGAGGATCTTGTCGTTGATTGCCATAGTTGGTCGCCTTTGGCAGCCAGTCATGATCAGGGAAAAGTAGTAAATTGTACGGGGATGATGACATACGATAAAAAACATGTTAAGACTTGTGGCCGCCAGATAATAACTCAAGCATTATTAATAGTAGGGGTTATCCAGGTTTTAAACTCGTAAAAATAAGAAGTGGCTACATTTTCAAAGCGGCCCAGTGGTTTTAAATCAAAAATCATCTTTAAAAACTCCAAATGATTAACCAGGGTTCCCACTCCATCTGCGCCATCATGACCAACCTTAGTTACAGAATAACATTGCGAGTTTACATCCCCAACTCTCAGTGAACTAGTTTTGGATTATGAAAAATTGTTCAGTTAAGAAACTCATCAACGCGGTTTTCCGGGAATTGGCATGACAACACCTCATCGTTGGCAAGGCATACAGGGATTTCCCCCCTCTTTCCTTTGCACCAACCACCTCTGGAAAAAGTCCGTTCGACACCGGAGGTGCTGAACCCCCAAGCTACGCATCGTAGCAAGACGTAGCGCAGTAAGCCAGTCGGGGTTTTCTCCATTTGAACCTGGGGACACATGCTGCTGACTATATTTACTTAACTGGGATGATGTTTGGAAAAACCATTACTTTGAAATATCTTTAGATCAGATTTTGGTTATTTGCAACTGCTTTTCCAGGCTGGTTGGCCATCCCAAAAAATCCATAAAGAACCCCTTTAATTTAAGCTATACTTGAGTTCGCGTAACCAAACTACACATGGGAGTGCTCATGCTGCAGTGGGCCCCATCAGTGATTGCTACGGTTGATACCGACTCCATACACATCACCTGGCGGATGACTTCGGCTTAGAGAAGCCTCGGGCACTTTGCTGTGCAGATGTGAAGAACAAGGATGGGTCAGGCTACAACACTAGCTTCAGGAACCAGAAGAGTGGCTACCCTCTTCGCGCAAGAAGCGCATGGGGATGAAGTTTGACTTCTCCCGGACAATATCCGTGGCGCTGGCAACATTGGAGACGTGATCAGACCTCTTACATTCCAGCTTTGCTGGGATTTTAAACCATTGATGAAATTAAGGTTATTATTATGTTGACATTTAAAACTGTTTTCGAAGATCTTAAACAAAAATCTTCGATCTTAAACGAGTAACAAGATTGGTATGCGGATAAAAAATGGATAAATAAGAATGATGACCAGCCATTATGAAGACTAACACGGTCATTATAAAGATGATGGTGATGATGATGATGATCATCATCATGATCAGCATCATGATGATGATGATGGTGAAGATCGTGGAGATGATGATCAAGAAGATGATAAATATAATGAAAATTGTGGAGTTGATGATGAATCAGATGGTGAGGATGCTAAGTATGATGCAGCTGAAGAAAAAACGATGATGATGAAGAATATGTTGCAGATGAAGAATAACAAAAGTATGACGATGATGATGATGATGATGCTGATGATGATGATGATGATGTTGACGACGATGACAATGACAATGATGATGATGATGATCATGATGATGATGATGATGGAGATGATGATGATGATGATGATGAAAATGATGATGATGATGATTATGATCATGATCATGATGATGATGGTGATGGTGATTATCACCCTTGGTGTTGGTCATGATGAAGAAGAAGAAGAAGAATTGGAAATGAACACAGTGAAGAGATCTTTTGTGATGATGATGATGATGATAATAATGGTGATGATGATGATTGTGATGATGATGACGATGATGATGATGATCATGATGTGGATGCTGTGAGTGATGGGGATTAAGGTGACGATGATGATGATGATGGTGATGATGATGATGATGAATAAAAATGATGATGATCACCCGTGATCATGATGATGATGATGATGACAATGTCATTAGTGGTGACGATGGTGATTATATTGGTACTGATGATAATGATGATGATGATGATGACGATGACGATGACGATGATGATGATGATGATGATGATATTGATGATGATGATGATGATGATGATGATGATGATGATGTCATTGGTGGTGTTGGCGCTGTTGCTGATTGAAATTGGTGGTGATGATTGTGTTGATGATGGTGATGATGATGGTGATGATGATGATGATGATGATGCTGATGATCACCAATGATGATGATGATGATGATGATGATGATGATGATGATGATGATGATGATTATGATGGTGATGATGGTGATGATGATGATGATGATGATGATGATGATGATGACTATGACTAAACTGAGCGGCTGCTTTGCACCAGGCATCCAGAGGATTCATGCCGTCTCGTCTCTGAAGCCCTTTTGCGACAGGCAGGACTCGGCCAAGCTGGATGAGAAGTTCATCCTTAGAAGGGTCGGTCGGGGCTTACGTATGCTAAAATCATAGGCTATTTAAAATCATGAATGGGGGGGCCTTTCCGACAGAACACCCAGAAAAAAGCAATAATCAAAAGGGCAGTGGACAGGGTTCACGGCAAAGAATGTTGCGACCCGGTGAACAACACGATCACCCACTCGGTTGGCTTCTAAATCTGAAAGGAACTTGGCTAGGGTTTGCATGACCTCGTAGTCTGGAACTTCCGTTTTGATGGCCTGTTTGACCAAACCAGTCCAGTTGTGTAACCTGGGATGGTGATTTGGGATAAACCTTGATAAAAACTATTGAGAAACATCATTTTTAGGGTTTCCCTTGAAAATTAAATCATTGCCATTTCGTTGAAGATACCGTGCAGTTACCCTGTTGAGCAAGTCCTCAGAAATTTGTCGCCCCCCAAGCTTTTTCATGGTCACATTCCCACCGGGAGCCACAAGCTTGATGGTCAAAACGTTCTCCTCCAACCTTCGCCTTGGATAGACGGGTGCTATCAACTGATTTCTGAGGAATTGGATGTGCCGTCATAACAAACCCAGCTAACATTTTATGATCATCATAAATTATAAACCAAACGGACCAAAGCACTTCATCAAAGCAGAGTATGTTCCGCTGATCTTCCAGCACTGGTTCTTGGTGAAAAGAAATATCACGGTATCTAGAAACCTTGGCTGTCACTGGTGAAAATCATCAAAGGTTGTGACTGGGATCAAGGAGCATTTAAACCATTTCCAATTTGTTGTAAGAAACTTTTTCAAAGCTGAATTGAGGGAGCAAAGATCAAATGTTTCTTCATCTGCCACCCTCACGACGTGCATGTGCTCGTCATAGGCGTCTGACAGCAGTGCAAGGGTCCTAGGCTCGCAGAAGATGAGGTGCCACTGGTGGGTGTAGTGATCTCTCCATCAACATGTCATATTGGGTCCTGTTGACATGGTGATTCATATTTGATTGATAAGTGGTGAATGATAGAGGTATGTCACATAGATGATATGTATCATAGATAATTATAATTATATGTATATTATATATTATATGCGACTTATTATGATTATGTATATTTATGTGTGTATCAGATTGTATGCATATATTTATGTGGACGGGCGCAGGGGGAAAAAACAAATTATTTTGAAAGTCCGATTTTGATTGGACGAGGCGCAACGCGTGTTCAATGGTCAGCTTGTTCAGAAAGTCCTTGCACTTGCGACCTTCTACCTGGGCGGGCAATGGTTGTGATTAACAATCAACTTCAACAAAAAAACTATGACTGACACGAAAGGATCATTTTTATTGATGATGAATCATAAGCAGTAGCAGTGTCCATATATTCACGTAATGATATGTTATTTGCGGGTTTATACTTATTGTAATAAATATCATTTTAGCAGTGTCACGGTTACCATTATATGCATCACCCTCTATTTTTCAAAATCCCCAAAACCTAAATGCTGCTTTGGCACGCGGTTTTTGCGCTCCATTGCAATCCCCTCCTTAGATATTATTGGCATTAACTGAGTGGCTCAAGAGACTGGCTGGCAACAAAATTGCAAACCAGTTATGTCGAACTTGAAATGCTGGCAAAGTGTCCACAGTTGAAAGCAGTGCTTCAAAGTGGATGGCCATCCGCGCTATCGGTGTTCTCAAACTTTCAAACCTTAGGCATGGGTTGATCTTAGGCATAGGTTGACAATGACAAAAAATGATGTGACTGTCTGACTTGACTCGGGTGCGACATTGCACTTGCATCCCTTGACAAACAGCTCAGACTGTGGGCTGCATGTTTGTGCTAAATAAAAAACAAAGTAGCCAAGGCGCCTGTGCTTTGCAGCGGAAAGCGACTGACACTTCCACCCTGTGTTCTTCTTGACCTCCTTCGCAAACCGGTCCTGGCAAGCAGATGGACGAACCCCCACTGTATCAGCATGATTCCCCTTTTTGGATGATTCCCCTTTTATGCAAGTGTCACTCGGGCTCATGTGTCTACTCACCTCCCTGCCTGTTCCCGCACAGACACATGCCCTTTTTTCTCCGTCCTATCATCGCTGTCTTCATGGCATTTTTTCAAAAGAGCATATGGTGCTATTGTCATATGCTGGCCTGTAGGCATGGTCTAAAAGACAAACTACACACCGTTTTCGCCATTGTCATCCTCACCCTCCTTCTGCTTGTCAGCTGGCATGCTTTGGTTCTTGTCACCCTCTTTTTTGGCATCAGTCTTCTTGTCAGTGGCATGCTCAACTTTCTGATGCTGGCGTTTGTCGCACTTCTCAAACTTGTTCTTCACACGGGAGATGAGTGTCGCTTTGGGCACCCTTACATGCGAACTTTAAAACAGGCCAAGCAAATTATGCGAGGGTTTGGGCAAAGCAACTTTATCAAAATTGTCCAACAGAAAATCTTAGCAACTTCTATCTAGGCTAAGCTACGGGGTCGGCCAGTCTGAGACCGGAGACTTTGGAGCAGGAATAGGCTCCGGTACGTGGATGTCATCCCCAAGTTCGTCATCTGACCCAAAGAGGTCTTGGGAATCCGCTGGCAAATCCATGGCTGTAAGCCACCAAAAAAAGGGGTCAAACCAGTTGTATCTTGCTCCAAAATTGCTGCTGAAAATGTGTCATGGGATAAAGTTTATGTGCACTGGAAATAACGTCAAATAACCCTCAGCTGTCAGTCCTTGAAAAGAACTGAATGCTGAATCATCTTCGCTGGGCCATCCAAGAACAAAGCCAACCTGGGCAGTCGCAAGCACGGGGAAAAACCGAAATCACGGGGAATGGACAAGATGAAAACTCTTAAAGCAAGAAACGTTTCCTTAAGGAAAGGATCGGCGAAAGATGGCCGCTGGCCCACCCTGCGCCATGAACAACATCTATCAATCACCCCTCCAAGACATTGGAATCCAGTCTGCAATCAATCAAAACCAGCCTTCTGACCGCATGGCACAAGTCCCGGCACTGTAGGCGAATGTTGGGGAAAATTGCATCTTGGCCATCCGTATTACCAGCCATGGTTGCCTAGGCAATGACAGCAAACAATTTCAAAGATTAATCATTACCAGGTAGACTTATACCCATTTTAGACTGGTTGCCAAAGCCAACTGCTCATCTGCCGCACCATCTGCAGTGATTGCCTCTATGACGTTGCAAAGCTTGGCCTTCATCTTGGGGTACGCTGTCCTGAGCAGAACTGCAATGAAAAACCCTGAGCCTGGAAAATGGGGTTGCGCAAATTATAACGGAGCTTGAGCTTTCAGTCAATATCTCAGTTAAGATTCCTCTTTTTTGAGCTGAACGGCATGTTCGATGTTGGGCAACAAAACCCGGAAATGACTTTCTCCGTGAGTTCCTTGATTTTCATGGCATGGCATTGGCCTGAGAACCTTCCAACACCGATGGCCCCAAATTGTCGAACCAAGTCTTCACTGCAAGCACCAAACCGAATTGCAAGCCAGCCATTGCTGGCATCTTGCAAAAGGGATGCACTTTGGGCTTCTGACCTCAACAAAGGAAACCATGCCCAAATACATATTCCGATTCCACATGCAAAAAGATGGCTACTGCTGGCCACTGCCGAGATACAGAGTTAGGATCGACAATTTCCTGGCTCCTTCACCTAGACAGGCCTTCATCTTTCGAAGTTTTTTTCGTCCCTTAGTCTTAAGTAGTCTCCGGCATCAGCAAAAATCAGAATCAAAATCAAAACAGCCAGGCAGTGACCAAGTCCCACAAAATTCGCAAACAAGAGTCCCACTTGCCCTCCTCCTCTCCATGATTCCCAGAAGAAGTCCTCTTGAGAACGCTCCGGAAGATTGAAGCTGCAGGCACCTGAAATCAATGGCATTGGAAAGATTTAAACGGCTGCAAAAGTTGAATTTCCGATATTTGGCAAATGTCATTGAAAGGGAAACTTGGCTTCAAACCACCATTCCATTCACAATAGCTGTGGCATCTCCATCTGAAGCCTTTGCCACTGCCAAGCGATGGATGCTAGTAGCTTCATGTTGGACCAAGTCTTTGCGCTTCACAAAAGCCTAAGTGCATCACCCAAAGTCAACAAAACCAACACAGGGAACAAAACAACTTATTGATAACCATATGTTTAACCAGGTAACCCCACGGCATGCCCTGAACTTTGACCAGGAAGATGGTCTGATTCCAGCTTTGGAGCACTGAGAACATCCAAGGCCTGTTTGTGTCAACTCCACCCATGGAAAGTCTTTTTCCCAGTCTGACCAATGCTTCCAGCAGTGCTGGTTCCACTCCTGGGGAAGTGGCAGGCCGGAACAATTGCTTTGGGACTGGGACTAAGTTCAGAAATGGAAACCGCCTGAACTCACATAATGCTCGCCTGGGCTCAATCCACCTCTGACCATGTAGCTTGGGCATCTTTTATGCCAGACGGGTTGGCATGGCGCGATGATCGCAGGATGAAAGTCAAAAATAATCAACAGTGAGTGACAACTCGGTTTTTCGTTCTTGGCTCTGACTTGTCAAACCGCCTGCGTCTAATTGAATACAGTTAGTTTATCTATGATTTGGATACATCAAAGCACACTGCTAGGGTTTGAGCAGCAAAATGCCGCTAGATAAAAAAAACACTGGGATTCACAAAGCATGGGTCAAAATAGAACGTGTCCAATCAAAAATGTGGGTTAAGACCTATTATGCCATTTCAAAACATTGATTTTTGACCCATACTACCAATGTTGATTCTTGACCCAAACCCACATCCTCATTCATCTTCATCCTCATCTTCTTCATCATCATCCCGGCTGGCCAGGTGCCCCGACAGAGCACTGGACCAGCTCCATCTCCATGCCGTTGCCATCGGCCAATGCTTCCGCTTACGTGGCGGTCGGGGCGTTTGTAATTAAATAGAGGGGACCTTACGGTAAATAAAATGGCAATCTATCATAAATAATAGTTTCAATGATACATTGAAGTTGATCTGGGCAATTTAATGGGTAATTGATCAGAACATGGCCATCCAATTATTTAGAGCAGGTATCATGATGATCATCATGGTAATCAAAAATGTCCTGGTACTATTGGACTATGTTAAGAGCAGGCCAGTTTCAGAGGCCACTGCGCGGTGTAGCTAGACTTCATACCTTGGACCGGGATACGTTTGTTGCGATGTCTTGTTCGTGATGATGGCCCTGTCACGCACCATGTCCAAACTCCATGACCCACCCACCTGTTGCGACGGCTAGACGCCCGCCGATCATTGAAAGAAGTACTGTAGCAATATGTCTTCTAAGACATGGCATGCAATACCCGGCAGGTCATCTCCTGCATGGCACAAACATCGCGAGGGGATTGAAAACTGAACTGGGGTACGCCTCGCTTGCCTACGTACTGTCCGCACATCTAGCCGAAGCACCCATGAATGCTAGCCGAAGGGCAGAGGCAAAGCGAAGGAGGCCGAAGCTTGCCAAAGCGCAAAGACGTTGACCTGTGGCCAAGTGTGCTACTGCTACTGATGAAGCACATGTGAACGAAAGCTGTGAAGGCAAGACGCACGCGCATCCTGCCAGTGTTTTTGCTGTACGTGTGTCATGGTCGAGGCCGCAGGAAAGGAACTCGTGCAGCGAAACAAGAGCCGCAGCAAAACAACGTCGCATCCTTGAGCACTTTGGCTCGCTGCGGCCTCTGCCCCGTGGCGTCAAAGCGCCAACCGCAGCGTGTCTCCACAGTGCTGATGTCGGAGATTGCATGCACTGTGGAGCTATTGTGGTTCACGACCACTTGGTCATCGGGAGAAGCGGAGGTGAGTTGCAATTCCGCGTCACTTTTCTGTTTCTCGGACGGCTGCGCTAAAGTCTCCGTACTTGCAGCTGGTTCCTCTTGACAATGGACGGTGGGTTGGCGCTTTCTTTTTTTGACTGGTTTTGGCACGCTGCAGGCGCCGTCTCCGTGAGCACCACTGGAGCTTGCAGCTAGCAGGGGTGCAGCGGATGGACGAAGCTGGGCCTGGCAGTATGTGGTCCAAGCCTTCGCACAACTGTGCCGCACATTGTGCTCACGAGCAAAGAGCAACAGAAAAAGTTCTTGGTGCGTAGGCGCAGCATAAGAAAGGACAATCTGCCAGCGGCTAGCAATATGAAAGACTTGCTCAGCAGCCTCAGTGTCAATGCCATGGAGGTCAGGATGCGCAGCTGGATCAACAGCAGGAACAAACCAAGGGCTGGATGGTTGCCGGCAAGCAGAATGGTATCGCAGGTGCAGCCTGTCAACCACCCAGTTCAAAGCGGCTAAGCGTTGCCAAGCTTGCTGGACTGCGACAGGTAGTCCCCCATCCCGCACGCGCTTGCGCACGGTGCGCGCAGCTCCACAAGCATTGTCGTAGATGATAAAGGCCAAGGCAGTGAACAGGGTGAGCAAATGTTGCACCAACAACACGACTTGGGTCACAGACTCTGACGCATACATAGGACGGATGGCCATAATTTGCAGGCAGGGCGATACGGCCACCAAGATGCCGTTGGACTTGCGGGCGACATGGGTCTCAGAGATGCCTTTGCGGTCGTCCTTGTGACCTATATATGGCACGCCCAAAAAAACGGAAAGGAATGTGAAGGATGGAGCACATTGAGAAGGAACACTGAAAAAAATGGAAATATACACAGACTGCTAGTAGATTTATCCCCGCAAGCGACGCGTCACAAATGCATCAGCTGAGGCCGCGGCAACTGTCAGGCTCATCGATCAAAGTTTCGCGCGCTCTTGGTCGCAGCAAGGTCAGCTCATATGCGCGCAGATTCTCCACAGGTACTGCAGCAGCATCAACCCAAGCACCTTGAAAGAGGTACTGCAAGGAAAGACTGTCATGGGTTTGCTTCTCCCGGTGCTTTTGGATGCCAGAATCTTCTGGCGCTATTGGACATTCACCATGCAATCGGCAATATTTGGATCCAGGCGCTGGCCGAGAACAGCAGCCGCCAAAATAGCCGAGGCAAAGCTGGGGATCCCATACGAGTCCAGAGGTACGATCGTTGCACACAGGTGTCTGGATGGACCATTTACCGTCTATCACACATGCAGGAACTTTGTCAAATAAAGGGCACACATGTTGCATACTCAGAGAATCAAAACCTGCGCGGAGTTTGCGCAACAAAGGTTGAAAGTCTGTGGCTTGATGATGAGGACGCAAATGCCACTGAAAGCCTGACAAGGCTTCAGCATCGGAAGCTTCAAGCAGGAGCATGGATTGATGCACCAAAATTGCGAAGAGGAGCTTCTGGACAAAAGTGTTCCCGCGCGGCAAACATAGTTCCATGCATGCTGGTGGACCAAAAGGAGACATAAATGTCATAGAAAGCCGAAGCACTCAAGCCACCACGAGCCATGCATCCGAAGATGAAATGCAAGAAATGGATCTCCCAACACACACTTGGAGTTGCAAAAAACCACCGTGCATCTGCACGGTCTGGTTGCGTATGGCGAGGCCGGTGAAAGCCGTCAGGAAAACGACTGTTTTCGGGCACATCGTCCCATCTCCAGGAGCCACCTGAGCAGCGGCGCTGGGTGGATGTTTTGTTTGGGCCTGGCTTTTTTTGGTCCCGACAACGACATGGAAGAGTGACTATGTTACTACAGACATGCTTGGTATTCAGAAATCCAGCTAGATTGTATCAATGTGAGAACTTGTCGGCACGGAGACGCACTGAGTTGTAGCTAATGAATGCGTGTACCTGCGCGCACATCAAGATATTGAGGTATGAAGTTAGAGACTTGACAATAATGCGACAGTTGTAAGAGTGCCGCGATGTGTCGTAGGAACTCGATAATTATAGTTGAGACGTGTAACGTGGCAGTAAGAAACATGAGAAACGTGAGAAAATGCCGCTGATCTTGGGGCTCGGACCATATACTGCAGAACATGGGAAGCACCGTAGAAAAAGCACTTGTGCTGCAACCAAGCCCCGCGCAAAGGTGAAGCAGTGGGCTTGGACTTGTCGCCACAAAACCAAAGGCCTCCCGCAAGCGCACGTAGAAGGGCCGGAGCAGGGCACAAACTCCAGGACGTTCATGAGCATCTCGGGTTGCTGGGCTGCGAGAACCGGCGTGTATGTAGCAATGGACCTTGGCATCTTCAGTGTGAGGAGGTGTGGCACTGCAGATAGCAAACGGGCCAAAACATGAGACACTGTAGTCGCAGAAGTATTGGGCGGCAGCAAGTGCGCAGCATCGAGCAGGCGGGCAATTGCCGGCGCACGCCCTGGCGCTGCATTGGTATGAAAACCCAAGCAGAACCATCCCAAGGTACAAGTTGGAAATGGGGCCATCAGCGCTGCCAGCTCTGCATCTGACACCATATTGGCCATGGATGGACAGCGTGGTGTAATATTTGAACCTCAAGAATGCAACGGCAAACAGGACCGCAGGCACGGCTAGAAGCATGCACCTGACAGCGGTGCTTGAAAATTGCAGAAACAACTACTGACACAGCAAAGAAAAAAAACTTAACGGACTGGCTTGGAAGTAAGCTGCAGGTTGCACCCGTTTCGTTTTGTCTGCAAATGTCCGGGCCTGGTGTGTGTGTGTGGGTCAGAATGCTGGACTGTGTACAGCACACAGCTACAGCAGGGAAGCTGAAGCCAAGCCAAATTTTGGTGCATGAATTGGAAATGCCTATCGCTCTGGAGTGAGCGGGTCGTTGAAAATGTCGCCGGGGGCACTTGGAGGATCCTCATCAGTCGAAGCGACGTCGGGAATCTCAGCTTGCGGCAGGTCTGCGATCAAATCTTCATGGAGAGGAGGAGGCGCGGCAGCACCAAAGCCATCATCACGGAGGAGCACGGCTGCAGCTGGCGCCGCAGCTTCGCCGACAGCAAAGTGCAGCCCCAAAGCAGCGCTCAAGCTTTGAAGCACTTCTGTTGACGGTGACACTTTCCAGACTGTGACGGCAGGGGCTCTGGGTGGCCGAGAAGTTGGTCTTTGTACGGATTCTGTGTAACTGTCTAAGGATGGGACGCTGTCTGCTGTCAGCCCCAGGCAGACCAGGATGGGACGCATCTGTGCTGACACTGTCCGCTTTTCAAAGAACCAAATGCCACGGCCACCACCTGCAGTTTTGATGGACCGACACCACTGCCCCAGACCTAAGCTTTGCAGCATGAGGCATGCAAGAAAGACGCCAAAGTGTGTATGCTCCTTCCAAATCTTGGCCAACTTTCTCTTTGCGGCATCAGATTGGTTCCAGTAGAACCAAGAGCCCACACCAACGCTGAGGACAGCCTCCATGAATTTCAGCAAGATGGCCAGAGTAAAGCCATGCAAGGGCAGACGTTGCACAAAGCGCAACAAGATGCCTGGCAAAGCCGCTCCCAACTCTGTGATGGCATCCAGGTCGTCATTCCCAGGGCCATGCTGGCTGCCACGCATCGCAGTCATCAAAGATTCAAAATCATATGTTTTTTCCGGAGGGGCTAGAGGCAGCTGACTGGACTGGATGTCTTGAGCACTTGGGTCTGATGGCAAAGCATGCCCTGTCCGCGCAAAATCTAAAAGTCGCCACACAGCTTCTGCATGGTCGCAGAAGGCATAAGCAAATTGAAAGAAGTCCTTGGGGATCTGCGCATCTGCCTGGAAGTTAAGGCCCCATGTATCTGCGATGTCTGTGGCATCCTGTGTCGAGCGCCAGGCTGCGCAGACTGCTTGCAGAACATGCAAAGCTAAAGCCATACGGTTGAATTTCGTGCGGAGCTTTCCATGGTACTTGGCTTCCTCATGTCTCCCTGGCTGCAAGAAAGCATCCTGCTGCATGGCCATGTGTTCATCAAAATTTTCATCCACCAAAGCTTGCGCGCCATCGCCAGGACAGGGTATAAAGGTCATGCCGTCCCGACCGACAGCCCACCGCAGCAATGGGTAGCAAAGGCCCGCCATGAACTGCGCAGGTTTGTGGCTTTGTGTTGGGAGCTTGGCACAAGCGGAGCGAACCTCCGCAATGGTGCTCCATTTGGGCGCACCATAGACGGCGGTGACGCGTTGCCGCAAGCCAAAGACATCCTGCAGAGTGGCCTTATGCATTTCCGGGATGTGGCCACCGGAGCAGCAGCCAAACCAGGGTTTGTGGACGGTGAAGGTGCGGGTTTTGTCCATCACTGGTCTGTGCCAGTCAGAGCCATCCCAAAGCTTGGCAGGCGCGGCACGGTCAATGCTGCTTTCAGCTGTGAACCAAGAAAGAACTTGTTCTATTTCAGGTTCCACAGACAAAGCTGCGCCTCGATTTTGTTGCAAACTCATCTGCAAGCCCGTAGCCGCTAAGGAGCCACCGCCTGCTAGCAGTTGACGACGAGGGGCTTCCTCTCGTTGCGCAGCAAGGTCCCGGTTGTTTTCATAAGCATACAGCCAGTCGAACATAGTTGCCACGGATGTTGCGATGGCTTGCACGACTCCGGAGCTGTTGGTTGCGCCCGGATGTAACAGCACAACCCACAAAGAAGACGGGATGCTGATGGATGGAGCTGGCTCGAAACGATCCTCCGGGACTAAGCCGGAAGCCACAGTCAACAGAGCCAGTAAGCCCCATTCCCAACAAACTGCCAATGTGTCAGCTAGCATATGGGCAGCCCACATGACGTCAGGTAGCCAAGCTTCAAAAGGCTCTGGCTTGAGGACGGGGCATGCCCGAAAGGCGCGAAGCTGCTCATCATCATCTGGACAGTTGGCCTTTGAGGGCGGCATGTGGGCAGACGGTGGACCCACTAGACACTGTGCCTCCGAGCTGTATGGCTTGCAGAAACGAAATTGCGCAGATGCATGAGACGAAAAACGAAGTGCCTAACACTCTCATGCGAAAGCCTGCCACAGCCAACGAACGTAAGGACGTGTGCTTGCAGGACGGCGCCTCAGGACGCAGAGTCGCTGAAATAGTGACCTGGCCAGCAAAACGAACGCAGACGTGCGTGAGTGTACGAAGGAAGTCTACACAACCAACTGTCAAGAAGTATGTAGGAAGCGCAGTGCCTTGAAAAAGGTTGTTGCCAAGTAGCTACAGAAGGCAGCAGAAGAAGCGATGACGAAGAGGCCTGCACAGAAAGTGGAACAAACAACATTGTGTCTGTGGGTGGGAATGCTCAGGTACGAGCTATAATGGCTGTGGGGGACTGCACACGTATGGAATGCCCAGGGCAATGGGTTTGTTGAACATGAAAGTGTCGTATGCGGATTTAAGATCCTAGTGTCGAACCTGGTCGGAAAGTAAAGCGACGAACGCCCCCAGCTTTGAATCCTGACACCTATAACCGTTCGAAAAGATATGAGTTCCTCTTCGCGTGACATGGGTGGGTGCTAAAAAAGGGTATGGATCGTTCCGCGGTGATGCGCGGGCAAAGCAGGTAGTTTGCATGGCCGGAGAGCAGTGGAACAGCGGCCGAGGATTGCCGCTGCGAGGGGTGTATCCGACACCGTCTCACATTGGCGCACCAGGACCGCCCGAAACCACATGCCGGCAGGGCCAGGTTACCAGAGGGGGTTCGTCTTCTATGGGCAAGTCAGCTGGGACAACAGCATGTTGCCAGAGGGGGTTGGTCTTCTATGGGCAAGTCACAGGGGAAAAAGGTCAGAGGAGGATAAAAAAGATGTATGTGGAAGCTACCGCTAGCAAACAGAAGCCAGACTGCCTGGGAATGAGGAAAGACACACGTTATACTTGAGCTACCGAAGGGGGGGAAAAAAAATATATATATATATATACATATATATGTAAGGGGGGGGCAGACCACATCGAGAGGGTAAGGTCTTTGACAAATGTTGCTGCCATGGAACGCTTACAAAATTGTTTGTTGTAGTGGAGGGGGGGGGTTGGGGAGGTTCGACTTCGGGTTCGGGTTCGGGTTCGGTGGTCATTGCGAGCAATATGTGCACAAATCCTGCTGCATCATCCCAGCAAACTGTTTGTTTTGGTCGAGGGGGGGTTGGGGAGGTTCGACTTCGGGTTCGGGTTCGGCGTCGGTGGTCCAATATATGCACAAATCCGGCTGCCGGAGAGCAGTGGAACAGCGGCCGAGGATTGCCGCTGCGAGGGGTGTATCCGACACCGTCTCACATTGGCGCACCAGGACCGCCCGAAACCACATGCCGGCAGGGCCAGGTTACCAGAGGGGGTTCGTCTTCTATGGGCAAGTCAGCTGGGACAACAGCATGTTGCCAGAGGGGGTTGGTCTTCTATGGGCAAGTCACAGAGGAAAAAGGTCAGAGGAGGATAAAAAAGATGTATGTGGAAGCTACCGCTAGCAAACAGAAGCCAGACTGCCTGGGAATGAAGAAAGACACACGTTATACTTGAGCTACCGAAGGGGGGGAAAAAAAATATATATAGATATATATATATAAGGGGGGGGCAGACCACATCGATAGGGTAGGGATGGGGGGGTTTGCAAGGGGGGCGTCTTTGACAAATGTTGCTGCCATGGAACGCTTTGCGAGGGGAGG